ATAATTTACATTATTAAAATACCTTTCTCCCCATCCTGGCACAAACGGCTCGATTAGTTCCGTCCGGCTTTGATGAAGGTCCGCCGAAAAACAAAATGTGTTGTGATTGGTTAGCTGTCCCATGCAGTGCGTTGTGATTGGCGAACAGCTTAGACGGTGTTGCAGTGCTGCCACGCCCCTTGCTCCGTCTTTCAACAAAAGCACTGTACTCCCTCATGTTGTGGAAGCTGTCCTCAGTAAAATGCGCAGCACACAATGGCAAATTGGGGTTATAATGCTCAGGGACAGAGTTAAAAAAATAAATTGCAACCACTGTTTCCTGACATCATCCGCTTTCGGAAGCCGAAACAAAGACGTTTGGGCACGGAGGTGAAAAAAACAGCGTTTCAGGCTATGAGTGTAGGCACACCGGCGGCGCCGTTCGGTGTCTGTCTGCACCGCCCAGCTACGTCGTGTTATACTTGTAAGAATTGCTCTAGACATGCCGAAAATTTGAAGCTACAGTACAGCAGCTCTTCTTGGTTTTCTCTGATGCACTAACTCTGCAGCAGCACTTCTTCTTCGTCATCTCGTCTGATGCCCTCACACAACCTCGCCCCTCCCCACCCCCCCCAACCATTCGAATTTCTGTAGGTGGGAATTATTTTTAATGATATTCTAATAAGCCGCTTTGTGACATTACAAAGCCCGGAAACCAAACGCTGTAGTCCAAACGTTGTAGTTCTTGAAAAGGGATTTTTTAAAAACGAAATATCTCACTTTGGAGTGGACTTTGAGATTTGTAACTTTCTAGATCTTTTTTATGCCCAAACATACACGCTACACACTGACTAAAATTAAAAAAGTGAAAAAGCATAACAGGACCCCTTTAAATGTTTCTATTTTATGGTTTATTTCTAGCTAAGTGCTATTCTTTGTTTAAGCTTATCTCGATAAATTAATGAATGTATAATTAACAAACAATTGCAGATACGTTACACACAATTATGGCAGTATTAAAAAGCATCTGTTGTGAAAAGGCTTATTGGGTCATATATCACCATATTAAATATGGTAAATGGAAGCTTAACGCAATAAACTCTCGAAATAATCAATATGATCAAAACTTTGCTGAAAGCATGTTGATAGTTTATGCTTTTTTTTATCAAGTAAAAGGCCTTTTAATGTAAAAAATGTCCACCTTCTGGTAATGGTTCACATGTCTTTTTGTTGTGAAATCTTTAATGATTTTTATAAAGTAAACAATTTTTCACAATTTTACTAATATTGGACTGAATATCCATAAAATTTTTTATTGTTTTTATATTTTATGTAAATTTCAATAAACTGTTCAATTAAAAATATATTTTTGTAGGGCTGTCAAATGATTAATCGCGATTAATCACATCCAAAATAAAAGTGTTTACATAATAGCCTATTGTCAGAGAGTCACAGTCCTGGAGCCCCGATGCCCACGAAGCCTTCCACCATCTCAAGGAAGCGTTCAGCACGGCCCCCATCCTTCGTCACCCGGATCCTCAAGTCCCCTTTGTAGTCGAGGTGGACGCCTCGACCACCGGTGTCGGGACTGTGCTGTCTCAGTATCATGGTGAGCCTCCCCGCCTCCATCCTTGCGCATATTTCTCCCGGAAACTGACCCCTGCGGAGCAAAACTACAACATAGGAAACCGTGAACTGCTGGCCGTGTACTGTATATTTATGTATGTAAATACGGTTTTTCTTAAATATAGCCTATATATGCATGTGTGAATTTATATACACAGTAGCCTAATAAATATACACACAAATTTTTTTGGATGCGATTAATAGCGAAAAATCATTTGACAGCCCTAATTTATTATTATTATTATTATTTTTATTTATTTTTTGCTATTTCGTATATCAGGCTTCACAGGGTAAAAGCCTTAATTAAATCTGTTAGTCATATAAAGCAATCTTTTCTGTTGGATTAAACAGCTCGATTTATGAATTACACTGTAAAAAATGACCGTGAATTTAACGGTAAAAGACTGTAAAAATGCTACAGTAAAAACCTGTTAAATGGTTAACGGTAAATTCCCCTACTATATACGGTGAAAAACTGTATTGGACATTACATGTATTGGACATAAATTTTACGGTAGTATACCGTTTTTGGAAGTGAAAAATACAGTATAATTTACAGTGAATAACCGTAAATTGACATTCCCAGAATTCCCTGCATTACATTTCAAATGTGATGTTTTTTTGTTGAAATAACTGTTTCTTCTTAGTTTTTTCTTATCAGTTTTGTATATTAGGGTTGTGTGTTACACCTAATGTTGTTAAATGAATGTTCATTATTTCAGTACCATGATGGTGTTTAGTGTTTGTGTGAATGACACTGTGCACCTTCTATATATGTTATTATTTAAAAGCTGCTTGTGATGGGCTTTGGTTCATCATGTGACTTTCTCATCACCTCCTGCATTTGGTGGTTATCAGTGTATTACAAAGCTACAAAACAGATTTCAGTACTTCAATAGGTTGGTATATTAACATTATATCAGTTAATGAAATTACGGTATTTAACTGTAAATTTAAGTTAAAACCATAAAACCTAAAACGTTGCTACCGTATTTTTTTACAGTAAAATTCCGGCAACCACAGCTGCCGTTTTTTTACCATAAATTTTTCGGATTTTTTTTTTTACAGTGTAGGCTATCTATGATGTCTTAATTATTATAATAATTTTTTTTTTAATCGTAAAAGTTTTTTTTGTTTGTAGACTTTGAGTGAAGTGGAAGACATATCTTAGATTTCATTACAAATATCTATTAATAAATATAAAAGAAATAAATATAACTGTTTCGAATTTTTTTTTTTTACAGTGTAGGCTATCTATGATGTCTTAATTATTATTATAATTTTTTTTTAATCGTAAAAGTTTTTTTTGTTTGTAGACTTTGAGTGAAGTGGAAGACATATCTTAGATTTCATTACAAATATCTATTAATAAATATAAAAGAAATAAATATAACTGTTTCGAAGATGAACGAAAGTCTTAAGGAGCGACTCAGATGAGCTATGACATTTTGGGTTTCTATTCAATGTCGTTGATTCTTGTCTGAATATAAGTTATTGTGGTTTATTGTGCTCATTTATTTATATGATGTTGGGAAACTCAGACAAAACGAGTGTTGAAAATAGGCACCGTGTACGTACCAGTCTATGAAAATAGACTGCATAATAATAATTTATTTGCATAAATAAATTATACGTATAGCCTACCTGTGACTCAGAACATTACAGCGCTTGTGACAACCAGCCCCGGTGTGTTTCCGCGCTGTGTCAGCTCAGTGGGCGGCAGCAGCATCGCTCAGAGTCTGACTCAAACTCGATCGCTCTCAGTAAAGTCACATCTGCTCATGCTGCTCAGGTGCATGCGGACGATGCGAACTGTAATTTTACTCCATGATTTCACCGAAGATGGTCGCGGCACACACCTGCAGCCACCCGTCCGCTTCTGCTGAGTGGATCATCTGTCTGGATAAGAGGTACCATCATTTACCCTGCACAAACTTCATTCTTCTGTCCTAATGCTGTTGTTCTGGTCTACCTTCAGCAATCATTTACACAGCAGTGCCTCATGCAAAAGACGTTTCAAGCACATTTGATTTGTTAAACAATATTAGAATGTAAGTTGCATGCCATAAATGTCAAATGCGATTGTGCAGCTGCAGTATGCATTCAGATGCAGCGTTTCATTCTCAGATTTCAGATGATTTTCATTGCAAGCTTCACGTCTTTCGCTGCTTTGATTGTGAATGCAGTAGATGGTGAATTGAAGTGTGTAAAGGGTTGTTTGTCCCCTGGAGGAGGTCACCAGTGCTGCAGTGCTTGTGTTACTGCAGACGTATGAAGAGACACTTTCTGCTGTGAAGGGCTTTAGTAACTAGGAATAGTCCACCCCAAAATGAAAACCCATTCACCCTCATGTCATAGCAAACCCCTACACATGTGTTTCTTCAGTGGAACTCAAAAGGATTTAGAATGACACTAATGTTAATGATGACAGACAGATGACAGAACATTTTTGCTTGAACAATCTCTTGAAGAATTAAACGTTTTTACACATTAGACTTTTCATTTGTAGCAATAGCAATACTGTGAGTGTCTGGACTCTGCCCATGATAGATACAGGACATCTCCAACATTTTAAAGCAGTTAACAATCATTACAGTCTCGTTATCAAAGATAGAGCAGAGATTTGTGTGTAATGTATTTATGACACACTCTAATGGGCTCCGACCTAAATGTTCCATTCCTGTCTTTATCTCGTTACACCTGACATTGTTTTGATGGAGACGTAGATGCATAACAGCAATGTCCAGATGTGTTGAGTGGAGCTGAATTAGATTTTTTCAACATATTGATTGCTGTTTGAATTATATGAACGTCATACATTTGCCTACCGAGGCTGAAAGTAGGGCTGCACGATTATGACAAAAATCATAATTGCCGATTATTCCTTTGAAATTGTAATTGCGATTATTAATTTGCTATGATGCATGATGTTGACACCTTTGTTTGAAGCAACTGCATGCCATCTTTTTATATGAAAATAAACAAGCTGAAAACACTAACTGAAAAACTTTTATTGCTATTCTATAGTATTAAGCCTCAAATGTCAACTATACATCGGATTGGTTTCTCTTTAAATAAAAAGGTAAAAATATGCATGGTGTTATAATGTTATACTAAAACAAATGAGAAACAAGATAACATGTAGAAAGAAAAAAAAGCATCTTAAGCATGCAGAACAACATAAGTGGACTGAGCAATAATACTTGCTATGGAGAGCATTTGTATTCAAACTGTGTTGTTCTGATGAAAACCTTTGGGTTAAACATCTTGGTCACATTGACAGTGTTATTTAGGTTTTGATGTAGAACTGTTTGCATAGTAAATGGATTTTTAGTCTCTGTTAAACACCCTCACATTGTTTGCACAGGTGTGTCTGACCTCTAAGTAGACATGTGCAAGACACCTTTTTAAAAATAAAGTCTACATTGTCAGCTTTAATCTTATATTTAATATGTTAGTTTTTAAATTTAATGTAGTTTCAGTTTCAGTCTGTTCACTGACTGTCGGATGCATATTACACACTAAACGGGGAAAGGAAGGGCAATTTTAGATTTTTATCACTGGAAATAAAATTGCATTTACAAGGTTGATACACTGAATGTCTTTGTAGAAGACCTCATTCCAAAGCTTTTGCCAGATTTTTATTTGATGCCAATATTAAAAATTTTGGCTATGCATGACTGATCATGCCGTTTTCTGAGTTAAACCTAGAGATACGGTCACACAAACGTCAACCTCTTTAGCAGACATGTTAAGGCTGCAGTGTTTTGCTTGACTTGCTCTGTGATTGTGTGAGGTGTTAAGAGGCCGATACGGTCAATATCCCATTACTCCACAGCGCTTAAACCTTAAACATTCACGTGAGATCGATCTCGGTGTCATTCTGCTTGGCCAGAGCTGTTGCATTAAAAAGTAGTTACAGTATCTGCATTGCATTTTCCATTTTTCAACCTGTGCTCTAGAGCATTGCTCATCAAAATCCCATCGTTCCACCACTAGATTTGTGTCACAATACCTCACGATTTACTGTTTTGAAGGATGTTGTGTTTTGTGATGATGAGCATTCTTTCTCTGGGGTGATTTTGAGTAAATCAGACTTGCTATATTGAACCGCTTCAAGTGACAGTAGCAGTCAAGGGTCCCCTAAACATTTATAAACCCTCAAATGATCTTGCCGGGTTTATTTAGCTCACTGCATCAGCACAGTATAGTACACAGATTAAAGCACATGGCTAATGGTGCTCTGGGATAAAAGGCACATTTAAAAAATAAAAAAATCAGTAGTTAGCACAAAAACTCAATTTAGCTGATTCTTGACACAATTGGCAGCAGTTGCACGAAGTTGATTGTAAGCTAATTTGATCTAATATTTAATGCACCTGAATCCATTAAAATACCAAATATATTTTGAGACAGAGGTCCTGATAATGATTTTCAGTTTTGTTCGAGGTAATTAAATCAAGTTTTTCAATAACAGTAGTAAATGCATTTGAGGTAATACTTTGGGATATAATGAAACCATCATATATTCAAAATAGATTTATTGTTACTACTGTAAAGACATATTCAATTATTATGGGATCTCCTCCAAGCCTTTAAAAAAAATCGATATTCATAAAATCAACATATTTCAATGACAGTGTATATTTTGAACAAAAATGCTTTTATTTATCAAAATAAACAGAAAATAGTACAAACTGAAGTTTTAAACAATTATTAACTTAGATATTATGCATAACACATTACTTTATTGTGTCTACAAATAGTTTTGGGATAAATACTGGGTGAGTTTTGCCTTGAGTGTGGGGTAAAAGGCCCCCTCATCATAGATATACATGATTTTTTTTTTTTTTACCAAAACAAATCACTTATAATTTATTTTAAGAACACAGAATGTGTTACTCTATTAATTTGTCTGCAATCATACACTATAGGAATAGTGAAAAGCATATTTTCCTTAAAGGAGTAGTTCACTTTCAGAATGAAAATTCTGTCACCATTTACTCCCCCCCCCCACTTTTCCC